TTATTAGATTTGGACAAAAAAACTCCACAGCTTCACTAATTGAATTAAAATCATATATAGTTTTTATTACAAAAAACATCAAATTATAGATTGAATCCATTAGCCTTCTCTACTTCATTTACCTACCTTATTAATGTGCCTGAATTTGAATCCACAAACTTTTAATTTCTTCAAAAGAAGTAAATACTCCAGATCATAGAATGTTTATTAAATATTATCACCTTTAAAATATTAGTTACATTCTATAAATTATTATTTACATTCAATTTTAAGTTTGATAAATCAAAATAAAACACATAACTAAAAATTATCACTTGAAGGTGTATAAATCATTACTTTAATTTGATTTTAAAAAAAAAATTCAAACTCAATTTTTTTAATTGAAAAAATATGTACTAATTACCATTGAATTAAATACTCGAATATTGTGTGATAATTACTTGATAATAATTATCATGTTAAATTAATAAAATAAATATATATAAATTTAATTTTATATTTCATATATATCTTGATTTTTCGAACCAGTAACCATATGGTGGAAAAGATCTATGTTAATTTTTTTATATATATTTTTATTAAAACTAATATATGTATATGAGCATAATTAGTCAATATTTATTCTTTTACTTATGTAATTAACAACCACATATGTACGTACTGGGATTAAATTAAGAACTTTGAATCTTAATTAAGTTGTAATCCTTTACAAATTAAAGAGAATTAAAATAATGGTTTGGTGAAGCCTTGATTAAAGACCTATACTTTTGTTAATAATGTAAGATTATTGCTTTGTCGGATACATGGAGGAAAAACCACTTTATTGATGTGTTTCCATACATGGATGATATTGGTTATATATCCTTATCCTTTCAAACTCTAAATTCTTTAAAATTTCGTACAATTTCACATTAATAGCAACAACCTGCCGTCATTTACTCTCTACACCAAAACGACATTAAACTTTTCATCAGATAGCATTTTTCATCACTCGTTCATTTAAGATTTTCATTTACCCTTTGTGCTTTTGTTGAGTACATAATTCCAGTTGCATCAATTTTACACCTACCTCACCTAATCACCAAGGCAGATTTGGTCCATATATGGCTAATAAAAATTATAAACCCAAAAAAAGGAATAACACATCTTGGTTTAGAAATATTGCATTAATCATCTACAGGAAACCTCATCTTTAGAACTTCAATTATCTCTTATTTTTGGTCCCATGATCAAGAGATGTAAGGTACTTAAGTTTTCTTCTTAATATGTTTTACTATTGGAGGTGTTGGATGAGTTTATTTATTATCGATTTTTTATTTATATATTTTTATCAATAATTTAGAATTTAAAATTTAAGATTTAGGATTTGACCTATATTATTAACAATGGCGGGGGCTTTATATATCTTTGAACTTAATCATTGGCCATTGCTATTTTGTAGAGTATGTTGCATGATAATCTTGATATTTCAATTGAAATAAATGCAAGGCCATACCATCTTATAGCATGGAATTAATCATACTTTCCTACTTCTTACCATCTTTGTGTCCAAAGACTTCTTCAAGGGATTAAAAGGCTCCAAAATTTCGACATATTTTTTTGGTTCAAGAGTAACTGTATTAGCACCTCTAAAATTCATCACAAAATATCTTTGAATAATAAAGTTCACTTGCAATGCCTAGCCGCTAGCAGAAGTAACTGTTAGCAGTTGGCAGCAATTATATGTGGTCTAAGAAACCAAAATACGAAGAAAATAACCATGACTCTCATATATCTAACATAATGGTTACTGCAACGAAAGCCAATGAAGTCTTAGTTTACCGGTAAAGATTAAGGTTTTACATTCAAATTTCATTATATGTGAATTTGATTCGTTGAATTTGTTTAATTATATATATATATATATATATTCTGATTTGTTAGTTGGTTTATTTGTTTATTCAGTGAGTTCATATATATAAATATAATATTTGATTATAATTATAATTTGTATTTATAATTTCATAAAAAAATAATAATGGTTACTGTCAATCTAATTGACTTGATAATTTTAGATATAATATTAAAAAATAAAAATGATATAATTTCAAATTTAGATAAAAATTGAATATAAAATTAATAAAAATGAGTTTCATATTTAAAGTGTCAGCAAAAACTATAATATAAAAATTGTTATATTTTATATATATTTAATACAAAACATATATAATAAAAATATACAAATTATCATATCTATAATTTAATTTACGGTAGACAAGACAATAACAGGAAAGACAGCGATGGTTCTTAATTGAAGCAACCTGCTGGAACATAACTGTGGAAAATAAAAGCATTTCACTCCTGAGAAATAACGACTAAAATTGGTAAAATTGAAAAAGTTATAACGAGAAATTGAATAAAAACAAGAGTACAAGCTTGCGGGGATAATAAATGATGAGGAAAAAAGCTCGTCATTAATTGTTGTGGAAATTATTATTCCCAAAAATATTGGTATAGCTGGAGTAATTTCGTTGCAGCTCAATGGTTAAATGCATAGCATACAATTAATTTTGTTGCAGAAGAATTCGGTCACCTTTTTTTTGTTGAGCACTATTAAAGATCATCGAATTTTTTTAATAAATATTTACTCAAAAATATCCAGTGATTTATATTTTTTTTAATATGATCGGGGTATCTTTATGTGGGCAAGACGTAGGTAAAATTTTTTATGTAAAGTTTATAATTTTTTTTATTTAATAACAACTTTAATTTTAAAGTTAAATCGATAGATTGAGAGTTAAGGAAAAAAGTTGTCAAAATTTTTAATAAAAATATTTATTTAAAAGATAACAAATTTTTTTTAAAATTTTACGCATTTAATTTATTTTATAAAATTTTTTAATCTATAAATTTAAAATTTTTTAATATTAAATTAGCAATTTCAAATATGATTTGATTTGAATATATGACCTAAATATTTCAAAATCGTTTTCTTTGTTAATGAAACAAAATTACATTGATTGTTGACTATAATTAACAAAGGAAAATTACCTTTTTGAAGAGATTCATGCAATGGATTCTGGACTTAACATTAGACTCAGTTTGATAATGTATTAAAAATTAAAATTTTCAAAATTTTAAATAAATAAGAAAATAACTATTTATCACTTCAACGTAAAACATGATCAGTTCATTTTTCTTTAAATTTGTTTTAATTATAATATTTACAAAAATTTATTTTCTATAAGACTACTTCATTCTTTGCTCAATCTAAAAATTTAATTCGACTCACTACTTCATTTCTTTCTCATTTTCTCTTCTTGGTTTGAAACCATAATTTGGATTATAAAAATGTTACAAATGTTGGTCTTTTTTTTTTTTTTTTTGAATTTGACAAAAGGAAAAAAAATATATAGATCAAATTATACTAGAAGTTTTTGTACTTTATAAAAATTTAAAATTTAATTTATAAACTATAATTTATACAAATTTAATTCTCAAATTATTTTAATTTGATAAACTTAATTCAATTATTAACTCTGTTAATCTTTCTTTTTTCATTAAAAATATTGATGTGATCATTTATTTGATGATGTGGGTATTGATTTTATTGATATTGCGTTGATTTTATTAAATAAAATTAATTGTTAAATTATACAAATCGTTCCACTCGCATAAAATTTGAAATTTAATTTTTATATTTACACAAAATTTAAAATTTAGTCTTTCTAATATAAATATTCAACATTTTTGAATTTTTTAAATTTTTTTTTATTTTTAAAATATTAAATTTATTTTTTCAATTTTTTTTATTTTTTTAATGTATTTTTTAGAAAGATTTCGTATTTTTTTGAAATTTAAAATTTTTATTTAAACAAAAAAATTAATTTTATTATTTTTACTCTTTTAGAATTTTTATAAAATTTTCCATATATATTTTAATTTTTATGCTTTCCAGAAAATTTTTATAATTTTTTATGTTTTTAAAAAGACTTTACAAATTAAAAAATTTACATATTTTTTATCTTATACAAGTAAAGAATTAATATGAATCAAAAGCTTTTCGTGTTTCCCTATTTCTCTATTTTACCTCAAATTTTCTTGCTCTTTCACCTCAAATAAACCAAAACAGAATAAATTTTAAAGATTTGTGTCTTTTTTATAATTTATTTATTTATTTTATTTAAATATTATAAAATAAAAAGCTTTTAAAAACATAAAAATAAAAAATATAGAAAATTTTATAAAAATTCCTAAAAGTTAAAAACAAATAAATTAGATATTTCGATTAAACAAAATGTTAAAATTTGAAAAAGTAAAATTCAAACTATAATTTTTATTTAAAAATTAAAATATTAAAAATACATTTAATATTTTTAAATTAAAAAAATCTTTAAATAAAAAATTAAAATATGATTTTAAAAATTTTTAAAAATATGATTTTTTAAAAAAATTAAAATATTGAAAAAAAATACTAAATTAATATTTTAAAAATATGAAAATTTTCTAAAAATTTTGAGATTTGTTTTTAAAAAAATAAAATCTGATTTTTTAAAAAAAATAAAAAAATATGATTTTTATTAGTAATTTTACAAATATTATTAATTTCAACTTATAAAAGAATAAAATTTTTATAAAATTATACTAAATGTACTAAATTTTAAATTTAGTGTAAGTATAACGTTGTTTATATAATTTAATAATTGATTTTATTAATATAAATTTTTATATCAATAAATTAATATTATATAAATAAATTAACATCAAATCAATAAAGTTAATGCGTAACTCATCAAATCAATGATCTCATTAATATTTTCAATAATAAAAAATTTATTAATTGAACTAAAATTATTGAATTAATATAGCACGGTAATTAAATCTATATAAAATATAATTCATAAATTAAATTTTTAATTTTAGTATAATATAAACACTTATGATATAATTTGACCAAAAATATATATTTGTTGCATTTTTATTATCTCTTATAATTTTTTTAATAATTTATCCTTTATATTTTACTTGTAAGGATTATTTATAAATTCTATCATCGTAAGCTACAGTTTCATCCCCGATTCCTATAGATTTTTCCTATAGATTAGGTTTTTAATCATAATAGATTAAAGAGAAGAAAAAAAAATGGCAGAAATCATGAACAGCGAAAGCCAATACGACAGAGCCGAAGAAGTAAAACGATTCGACGAATCAAAAATTGGAGTAAAAGGGCTAGTCGATTCAGGCCTCACCGCTATTCCTCGCTTCTTCATCCACCCACCCCAGATTCTATCCGACCTCAAACCCAAACCCAAACCCCAGTCCATCGTCATCCCAACCATCGACCTCTCGGGGCCCCGGCCAGTGGTCGTGGAGCAAGTTGCCCGCGCATCCCGATCCTTTGGGTTCTTCCAGATTGTAAACCATGGAATTCCTGTGCAAGCTCTGGACCGTACGATTGGTTCCATCAGAGCTTTCCATGAGCAGCCAACGGAAGTTAAGGCAAAGTTCTACCGTCGGGATGTGGGACCCGGTGTCAACTTCATTTCCAACGTTGACTTGTTTCACTCTAAAGCTGCCAGCTGGAGGTTTCATCAAACTCAATCTTTTAATTATGAATATTGTTTTCTGATTTTTTTTGGCATTAATTTAGTTGTGTTGAATTGGGTTATCTTTTCTCACCTCTGCAATACAATTATTGGTTGAATATTGTTACAAGTTGATAACTGAATCCTTGAAGCAATAGATTGTGTTCATGCTATCTTTTCCGGTCAATTTAGATTGATTGGTATCAAGATAGTATATATAATTATTGTTAATATTATTGATCTTTTTTATCAAATTTGAGTTGAATTCAGTTATTAAAGATGAAAATTGAATGGATTTTATGGGTTTTGGTTATTAACTTTCAAGTCAATTTAAATTTATTTCTGACAAGATAATTTTGGACCTTCAATATCATTTTTTTTCTAAGTGAGTTAAATTTGTTTTTAAATTGTGAAATTTTGGCTGGAATGAAAGGGATACGCTCCAGATAAAACTAGGACCAACGTTACCGGAGCTTGAGGAGATTCCCAAGGTTTGTAGAGAGGAGGTAGTGGAGTGGAACTTGGGGACAAAAGCATTAGGAGAGCGGTTGATGGGATTGTTGTCCGAGGGGCTGGGATTGGATACAGACAGGCTCAAGAACACTACCTGTTTGGAGGCAAGAGTTATGGTGGGCCACTACTATCCTCGCTGTCCCCAGCCTGATCTAACAATTGGCATTGCATCTCATACGGATCCAGGAGTCTTGACGGTGTTGCTGCAGGATCATATTGGTGGGTTGCAGATTAAGCATGAAGGGGAGTGGGTGGATGTCAAACCTGTGCCTGGAGCTCTTGTTATAAACATTGCAGATGTTCTTCAGGTAAGTGCTTTTTTCTTTTTCAGTGCATAGTATTATTTTGTAGTTTAGAGTCTGATAGTCTAATTGAACAGCATTAATTAGAAAAAATGATGATATTATCTAAATTCCATTAGAGAGAATGATTCCTTGAGGTTTGCTTTGAACTTCAACTATTGGTGATCCGTTCTTTTCAAGGTCCCATTGTGGCATTAATCTTTCGAAGTTTGGAAAAAGGAGTTCTTTGTTTGCTCTAAAAAAATTGCATTCCGGTTTCTAAATTGCATTACTGCTCCCTATTATCTCAACGTTAAGACCGTATAGTTTAATTTTCTGATTTTTGTTAAACCTACCTCTCTTCAATAAAACAACCGTTTCAACATTTTGCATGTGTAAGGATAAAAACTGTGTTTTGAAATTGTTGGTAGGAATTTATATTTTAACATAAATTTAGAAACATATTTTTGTGATTTATACCATTTGTCTTGTGAAATACAAAGAATTGATTTATTCCACTTATATTCTATTTTCATATCATCTAATTTGTGGAGGGTATTAAAGGAAAATGGTTTCTGATAAATTTTGCATACATCTAACCTAAAACGAATCAATTATAAGTGCAGAAACTCAATCTAAATATAAAGATTAAGTCAAAGAAAATTCAGACACTGTGGAATTGTTCAACAGCTTCTTATCTGAATCAAGCTGTGATTTTTCGGTGTATTTTCTTTTGCTAAAGCATTGTTGTCTTGGAAATTATTGGATCTATTAATTATGCTATTTGCTATAAATTCTGGTTTCTGTGTTTGTTTGCTGCATTTTTCAGATAATGTCAAATGATGAGTACATAAGTGTGGAGCATAGAGTGCTAGCCAATCCTTCCCATGAACCTCGAGTTTCCATTGCTGTTTTCTTCAATGCTAGTGCCAGGGAAGCCTTATATGGACCATTTTCTGAGCTTACTTCACCAGAGAAACCTGCCCTCTACCGTCAATTCACATATAATGACTACATGAGAAGGTTCTTCACCAAGGAATTGGATGGCAAAACTTTGACAAATTACTATAAACTGTAAGGAAATATAAAACCATGTACTTTGTGATGTAAGAATATTCTGCCGTATCGTATTCTTATATTTTCAAGTCAGTGTACAATAAGAGAACTCAATAACCTTTGCTGTAAACAGAGGAGAAACATATAAAAATTATCTGGATGGGATATTGAAAATTTTCTTAGTTTCGTCATGTTCAAACTGTCTTGCTGCATGTGATTGATCTTCCTCAAAACTGGGCTTTACATTTTACGAGGACAACATAAAGTACCCCGATAAGCAGTGCTGAAGGAATAGGGCAGAAGAGAAAGAAAAGATAGACAAAATAGTTGGAAACATCGTTTTTAATGAGGAATGATGAATTTAACAATTAAAAGCAGTGGACATTGTAATACATGAATCACATCAATACGTTTTGGGAAAATAAAACATTCAACTTGATCGGTACCAACAACTTTTAGGTGGAGCTTTTAGTGATGAATCAACCGTTACACGGGGTTGAAATGTTGCTTTGGAGGCTTCTCTTTGCATATTCTCTGCCAAGCTGCTTCTGTAAGAATTGAAAGTCTCCACGAGGAATACACCATTAGAAACCAAAAAGAAACTACCTTCTTTAATGGTAGATTATCCTGATCCTCCCGTAGTTGTCTCAGTTTTTCTTCGAACAAACAACCATCACAGCACAAACACTTAATATTTCTTGCCAAAGTTGGGAAGTTGTATCTACCAAATGGAAACTAAAGCCAAATTGGTGTTAGAATGCACAAACATTTTGAGATTCAAACTTCCAAATTGCTATAACATTGGCTGTCAAATTACTAGGGGCAAAGCCAATCGCCTAGCTTCATTGGAACTTTTACGTGTCCCTGTGTACTTGAATGCTCTTGTAGTGAAGCATCCCCTCATGAGGATGCAGCATTAGGCATGTCAGATTGTAGATCCCTGGTGCTATAATCAACCATTTTTTTCAGCAGTCTTCTTACCGATTCTTTAACTAATTTGTTTTGACAAGCCTTGTTCTCCACGGAACCAGTGATGGAGTCAAGACCATATGTCAACAAAATGCGCATCACATCTGCAGCTTATGAGTTTAACAAAATAAAACAAATATATTTTGTATTTTTATGCGGATACGAATTATAACACGTAATTTTTTTATAAAATACGATACGAATATATAAATTATTAATATTTTACATAATAAAAATATGTAAATTATCAGGTAAGTCCCATCACAGTTTACTCTCAAATTGTAGGAGAGCTGCAAACCTATAAAATTGAGATAAACAATAATCAGGAAAAAGAAAAACAGAAAATCTCTCTTTAACGTACCAAAATAGATATTATGCGGCTCTTCTTGAAATGTTAACTAACATCTTTTATATTAGTTTTAGAATATTGGAATACGCACTACCAAAATGTTGTAGTTGAATTTTTTTATAAATCTTTATAAAACAGGGCTGTATATATGACTTATAAAAATCAAGTGATGATATTCTGTAGATTAAGCATTGAAAGCAACTAAATGCTTTCATAATGAATACTTTGATCCAGAACCTCTTTTTTCATGATGTCTATATTTCCATATTCTACCAATATCTTAACAGAACTTTTTTATGAAAATTTTCTTTACATTTAGCTAAAAAGGTTCTCGCAGCAAAGCATTGGCACACTGTGTGGAGCTGTTTGTGAAGGGTAAGAAGCTAAAAGCACAAGAAAAGGGGTCGATCAACGACAAAGACCGACAGTGTTTTTGGCGTTTATACTTCAACGCTCAAATCAATTCTTAGTCAAGTAGTGAGAAGAGAATAAAGTGAAATGCAAGTAAATAAGCTTAGTGTTCCAGTCAGTTTAGAAGTATTTGGGAAAGGCTATTTATACCTGTGCGAAGGGGGATCTTGAACCTAGGTGGCTCAAGCTTGGTGTAAGGAGTCTAGGGCTAACATCGTCGGTCCAAGTTGGGCAGGCAATTGATGGTTTAATCAGAGATAACAACTCAGCTTTTGCGTGACTAGTTGAAGTGGCCGAATTAACGTAAAATTCAAAATTTTAAATTTAATCGACTCGGTTCAATTGAAATAATTAAATTATCTTCATTTATTAGTTAACTTATACTTTAAAAGAAAAAATTTATTTTGTCTTTTGGATATTAGATTACGTCCTAAATACATACATTCTAGCACATCTAAATCGCTCATAAATAATAATAATTAAATAAAAATTAATTTAAAAAAAATTATATTGAACAAAATTTTAAAAACTAAAAAAAAAATTAGTATCAACCCTCGTTTAGTAGTACTATTATTATTAAAAATGTTGGAGAATTGTTTGATTTTGTTATTTAACCCAATTAATAAACATTTCTCTGGCCATAATTTTCGAGGAGTGCTGGACACTGTAAAGAATAAGAAAAAGGTATGGAAATAATAAGTGGAGAATTTGATACCTGAATCATATGATTGCGTGAAGGGAACTTGCTTTTGGCCAAACATTTTTCCTGCTATTTTCCACTGACGGATGGATAAGGAATGAGGAAAAAGAAACAAGGAGAGCATATGCCCTTTTCCATAATTTGAAACAGATAATATTCTTTTTGTTTTTTATTCAGCAATAAGGGATTTTTAAGTTTTATCCCTTATATTTTTTTATTTGAATCAATGATTTATTTATGTTAATTTAATAAATTTATAAAAAAAATTTTAAAGAGAATATTTGAACAATTTGATTTGTGTTCTCGTTTAAATTTTTTTCTTTTGGAGAGGAAGTTGAGATATCAATATCGTATATTTTTTTTATATATTTCAAAGCTCTATAACCATTAGTTAGGTTGATTTGATCTCGTATCTTTACATGTGTTCACAAAATCTTTCATACAATATTATAACAATTTTTAATTTAATTTCTAAAATGATTTTTGCGTGATGCAATACATTTTCCGGACCTTCACCTTATATATAAATCAATTAAATTAATGTGGCCGACATCTTAATTCAACAATATGATACCAAGAGAGAAATTAGGGCCATGAGCAAAAATAAACAATGGCACATGCTAAAGATAGCTGTTGAAGATTTTGCACTTCATCATTTGACTTACATCTTCTGCTCAAATGAATTATGTTTACTTCTCCATTTCCAAATTTTTACTTTAATAAAAAAAGGAAATATTTGGTTTTTAATAAAACAAATTATTTATTGAATATGAATGTGAAGTGTCGTAAATGAAATTTGTAATTTGTAATTCAATTTTTACGATGAATATTTCAAAAGTAAAATTTTAAATGCATTAAATCAATATAAAATGATAAATTTTTTAAATTATTTAAGAAAATTAAATCTAAATAAATTCTGGAAATGAGCAGATCACGGCTTATGCAAAAAGCTTGGGGGATTCCATTCTCATTAAATTGATCGAATTTTTTGTTTGATTGTTTTTGTTTCGTTGTTCAATCATGACCCACTTGGTAACAAGTAATGCTACTTGTTATGAAGGGGCTTTGATTGAAATATACAACTTGCTTTAAGATCTGTTTCACCTAGTTTTTTTTTCCTATTAATTTTTCATATGACTCGCTCCTCAAGAAAGGTGCAACAAGTGGCACCAACGATGCATCCACGAATTTTACAATCATTTCCTAACATCTAGCAGCTGCATGCGAGTGTCTTCTTGGGAGTCAGCATCATTGGCCCTAATCACTATCGCTGATCCTCTGCTTTTTAATTCAAAGCTAATCAGAGCCTGGCAATGCCCTATGAACAAACAACTTCATTTTTACTACTAAATCAGAGAACAAATTGAGATATTTTGTTCCTTCTGTTGCTCCAGGGAGGTCAGTCTTTCAACCAGTATGTCTAAGGCTTCCTTCATCCACCAATGCTGGCATACATCCCTGGCTTCTTTCACATTCATCTAAACAAAATTAAGGGAAAAAAAACAATTAATTTTCATTATAATTAGTAGTCCTGTCAACTCAAAACATGTTACGATAACTCGATCGAAATATTCGAAAAAAATCCAGATATAACACAGGCTTAAAATTAAAGGGTTCAAGGAAGAAGAGTAATAGCTCACCCATGTTCTGTGGCGCACATTCTGCTCTGGCCAGAAGTCAAGTTCTTCCTTCACAAGCAAAGGGAACATGTAGCCTGCATAAAATGTGCCATGGCTTTTGCTTATGAAGTCCCATTTGCCCAATTCACACTGTGTTCAAGTACAAATAAATATAAAGAATTAGTTCAAGAACTCTTGGATTTTGATCATATAATTAGCAACTGCAGAACATGATTAACAGATCATTAATTATAATTAATACCAACCTCAACATTGCCTAGAACACCAGCTTCTTCAAGTGATTCTCTTAAAGCAGCTTCTTCTATAGATTCATCAAGCTCCCAACCACCCTGATAATTAAAAACAAGAGATCAAGGTTCATCAGTCTATAACATCCTTCTTTAAAAGGAAAAAAAAAAAAAAACCACGACTTCAAATAAGAGAAGGTATTGTAATTACTAAGATTTGACTCTCAAATCCGTTAATGATTGCATGAAGTAATTGAATTAAATTTCATATATTTATAACATCAAAATTTTGTTTTTCTTTACAAGGGTTTACCTTAGGAAACATCATTTTTTGACATTTCTGTGAGGAGATGACAAGAACCTCCAGGTCATTACTAATAGTTCCATCACTGCTACATTTGTATCTATAGGGAATGCACCTGCAGTTATCAAAATTGAAGAAAGTAATAAGTTTTTCATCATTCATTGCAAGTAAGGATTGAATTTTTCTCTATTGACAAAAAAAATAAAGGATGGAAACAGTCCTAGCATGAAAAATCTGACCAAAAATGTCAGGACCCCAATACAAAGAAAAATTTTTCAGTAGGACCCCAGAAACAACTAAAGAAAAAGACAAGAAATTTCTCAAAAAAAATAAAAAAAAACAGAGATACAAAATCCAGGAAACGCTTTATCACAAAAGAGACCATAAAGCCAATATGAACAGGACTACTCACCCGACAACTTGGCGGCGGCCCAGGTTGTCATATCGCTGCAAGTGCCTTCCCGAACGAGAAACCACGCAAACCATTCTCAAAGAGATTGAAAGAAGAACAAAACCGAAAGCGAAAGCGAATAAAAAAAAAAAATCTTTGGGAGCAAGCAAGCCTAGTGCCAACGAAATTAAGAAGATTTTTGAATTTATAGCAACAACCCGACAAAGGGCACTCGCTCCTTTGGAGTATCAAAAACTGATTATTACAGAGAATTACAGGTAACAAACAGAAAAGCAAGATCAAAGAGGTTTCAGAATTGGAAATGTATTAGTTGTATAAAGCCAAAATAAAAACAGAAAAAAGGGTAAAAGACATAAAACGAAATTGAAAGGAAATTGAGAGATGAGCGGAAGATGTTGGAACATCAAAATGGCTATTTATAGAATAAAAAAAGAAAGTAAACAAATTAATTAATTAAAACAATTTTAGTGAATAATAATATAATAATAACAATAATGATGATGAAAATGATATTTAAAATTAAAAATGGTTGGTGTTAGGACACGTCTCTGTCCGTGACCTTCGATGTCATTTCGTAACAAGGGTTCTCTTTTTTTTTTTTGGCCATAGTGGATTTTCCTATTTGTGAAAATGCTTTTAATTTATTTCTTTATAAAAATTCTTTTTTATGAAAAAAGGAAAAAATATTTTATTATTTTTTTAAAATGTTTTTTTAATTAACAGGAACATAATTAATACGTGTGTATATTTATATATATATATATATATAAATTGATCGGATTGTCGATTGAATTGATTGAATAAATAATTTAACACTTAAATTAATCTGATTTTATTATTAAATCAAATTTATAATTAACTCATTTTAAATTATATTAAATCAAAAATTTTATTAAACAACTATATTTACTTGATTAAAAGTTAATATATTAATGGAATCTGAAATAAAAGAAGTTGACTCTTAAGAAATACGATCACGTGTGCGAGCATGGCTATTTGCCACCGTTCCTTCTATTGGCCGTTGCCTTTTAAGAAAAAAAAAATACTAATAATAATAGAGAAACCTCCCCGAGTTGTTGCGATTTAAATTTTTCTTATTTTATTATTTTTATTCATCATATATATATTTTTTAAAATTTATCTAATTAAAAAAATGAAAGGTTATAAAACAAATAAGAATGACACATGATAACTTAATTTGTCTTTTTCTCATAAATTTTATAAAAATAAAAATAAATATTAAAAAAAGAAAAAATTAAAAAAACTTACAGATGATGTTATATTAATTGATATCTATATTGAGCTTAAAATATTAAAATTTTAAATTAAAGTAAAAAATAATTTTATTAACATAACACATGTTAAAAATAAAATAAGATATATACTTTAACGTATATATATCAAAATAGATCAAAACAAAATACCTTAAATACACTTCAATCCAAACTCGTTTTTTTTTAAAAAAAAAAAAACTAGACTCATCTCAAGCCAATCCCAATTTTCAAAAAATCTTTCCTTATCAAATCGAGGTTAACCGAAATCTGTCGATTGTGGAGTGTTTTAACATTTATATCAATCAATATATTTTTGTTGTAAAATTTATTTAATTAACAAATACAAAAACGAAAGGAGAAAAAGCTCAATGGTGTGCCACGTTGACACATTCATTGGATCTTTTCATAAAATTACTTTAATAAAAAGGACCAGAAAAAGGGAAAACAAAAAAAAATTAAAAATAAAATTTCTTAAAAATTCATTGGAGTATTACGTAAACATCCTAATTGATTGAATACTCATTGAATACGAATTATTTTATCATTCCTATCCATTACCTTTTTTGTTGCAAAATTTATTTAATTAAAAAATTAAAAAAAAATTTAGGGTGTCACATGGATAACTACATAGTTTTTTCATGACATTTATTTAAATTTTAAAAAATAAAAAATAAAATAAGAAAAATAAAAAAGTAACACGTCAAACCTCGAATAAAGGTTAAACAAAAGTAAAAATAAGTCAAATTTATATAATAGATTGATGGATTACATTTTAATTATGTATAAGTATAATATTTTTGTTAAATTAAGATATTAAATAATATCTTTATTAATATAACACATATATAAATATAAAATTAAATAAAAGTTAATATATAATTTAATTTATATATTTAAGACAAAACAAAATGTCATAAACCTGCTAATAACTTAACTTTGATTTTTGAAAAAAAATCTTGATTTGATCTTAAATAAAAAAATATACCTATTAGATCCGACGAATTAAATTTCAACAATATGAATTGTTGTGTTATCCATTCCTCCATTGATATTTTCTTAGAAATTTATTTATCAATTTTTTTATGTAAATTATATGATTAAAAAAATAAAAAAAATTATTGGAAAGGCAAAAAAACAAAATTAAGTGTCACATGTACACATTTGTTGACTTTTTTTTAATAAAATTATCTAATAAAAAATAAAGAAAGGGAAAATTAAAATGAAAAGATAAAAAAAAAGTTGAGTTGTCATGTAATATTAGCAATTAATGATAAACTTTTCTTAATATCCTTTTCTTTAAAAATATCATATTAAAAAATGAAAAAAATAAAATTTTTAATCAATAATATCAAATAAGCTCCACATAAAAAATTAAAATATTAGAAATTATAAATATTTTTAAAAAAGTAAATAGAACAATGATAAAAATAAGAAAAATAGAAAATGAAGGTAATAACTTGAAACATAGCTTAGCCTTGATATCAAGTTGACCAGACCAAAAAGAATTTAAAATAAAAAAAAATTATTAAATATATAAAAATAAAAAACAATTAAAAAATTTAAAAAATACTAGCATAAATTTAGCATCAAGCAGCAGATCTCATAAAAGACAAATTTAAAATCTTAAAAAAAAAAAAAAAAGGCTTGGTATAAAGTGGGATCTATCTTTAAAAAATAAAATTTTTAAAAATATTTTTTAAATATAAAAAGATTTTGAAAAAAAAAAAAACAAGAAAAATAATATATATATATATATATATATATTTTAAAGGTCTAATGTGGGATAAATTTTGATCATGTTCCGTACATGACCAAAATTTATGTTATGTATGGATAATAGAAAAACTAAAAGAGGAAAGAGTACGTGGGGTTTTAAGTTCTCTTATCTCGAGTCTACTAAAGAGTGTAGTTACTCCCAATTAGGTATTTTTAGTTTTTTTATATTGGTGTAATTTTTAAGTTTTATAAATTAGATTAAAATTATTATTTTATTATTTTATATTTTTAAAAATTAAGTGATAATTCTTTAATTTAATTGGTAGAGTATAAAACCTTCATCATATAAGATAATTTTTTTCAAAAATATTTATAATATTAAAATATACAATGAAAGAAATAACTAATTTTCTCTCACCTTAAAATATAAATTCAATTTTTTTTAAGATTTTTGGATAATACTCAAATAAGCACTCAAACTTTACTCAAAAATAAAAATAAGTCCATGATCTTTTATTACATAAAATTAAAATTATAAACTTTTATTTTATTGTAATTAGATCATTAAGGGCATAAAATATTCATTTTTTTGTTAAAATTTTTTAGTTAGAAGATTTAATTTATAAAAAATACTTACTCGGATTTAGCTTCATGAATACTTAAATTTTGAATGATGAACACACACCTCAAACCAAAGTGAGTACTGAAATTTAAAACCCAATTTTGTGAAAAGTACATTTACTTAACAATTTAATGAATTGATCATAAGAATCAAGCAATATGCAAAGGAAAGCATAATTTTTTTAAGAATATTAAGAGAAAATTGAGAACCATCAATGATAAATGGAGAACTAGCTAGTTATCATCCATTTTAGTCTTTTGACTATTGTGTGATACCAAAACGAAAGAACTAGATATACTTTGCATAAAATTTTATTGCAATGATTTTTAATTTTTTTTGTATGCTTTCAAATTTTAAAATTTTTTTTTATAACTTTAATGTGGAAGAAAGGACTCAACCGGCAAATTAAATAAATTTTATCGACCGCCTTGTAAATTTTTGCAGTTTTCACATTCCATAAGTCAGAAATAGTGAGCAATAATTTTATAAAATCCATGCCATAAAAGTAGTAGCTCATATTTGACTCTCATAAAAAAATAAAATGAGCAGTTGGAGATGAATTTCATGGCAAATGCTTCCATAAATAAAGTATTTCACTTTTCTTCAAAGCCAACTAAAAGTATGACAATCGTGATAAAATATGATCTAGAGATGAGAATAGTTGCATCAATCCATTCTTTTTTACTTGCATTAATATTTTATCTATAAATTAACAATGATATATTGATATCAGTATCTATTTCTACTACAAAAATTTTATATTTAATAAATTTTTTTTTTTGATATTTGCAATAATTTTTATGCACACTTTTGTTGTAAAAAATAATTTACAATATCTATTGCAACATAAATTTTTTTGTTGCAAAAGATATTGTGCAATTGTTGCAAGATACTGCAAATAATAAAATTAGTAAAAAGTATTAGCAACAATTATATATATATATATATATGCATTTATTACTTAGGATTCATCTTAAAAAAAGAATTAGGATTAATTTTTTTTAATTTATAAAACAAAGAAAACTCTTAACCAAGCTAGTTTTAAAAAATTAATAAAAAAATTTAAAGAAATTGTAATCTAATTTACATAATTAAGTTTAAATTATATTTTGATTTTTTTTGGTACATTAAATAGGAGACAAGGGTGATTCGAACTAGCAACTTATATATCTTTCTAAGTTTTCTTAATCTTTATATCAAGAAACTGAAAACAAATTATATTTTGATTTAAAACTTAATCTGATCAGTTTATTTAATTATTTTTAAAAAATAATATTTAATAAATTTAATTTTTAATGTTAATCAATTTTTTTAATTTGATAATGTGATTTTTTATTAAAAACAGTATTATTTGAGTGTGAAGTGGAAAGAGTGAACAGATAAAAGCTCCTGTAATTAATTTTTAACATTATTGCATCCCTATTGATTCAGCAGTAGCATGCTATGAAAGATTCGATGATTTTGTATGTCCAAATAGATAATGATTCTTGGCATGACAATAAGTTTGATTTTGTTTCACTTAAGTATATTTTCAGTAAACAAATCCCCATTAAAAAAAGCTCATTTTCAGCAATTTCGTCCCAAAGGTATTTATTTTTTTAAAAAGAAAAAGACAGGGTTTGGCCTACAATGAAGACTTGGTGATCCTTTGTGGTTTGAAATGAGGACTCACACGGGAGTAGAAAAAACGTGCATGGCGCCCACTTCATGAGAATCTATTCCGTCTCTCCTTTGTCTCCTTTGCTGTTTTTTTCTTCGAGT